ACTGCTGTGGCTACTGCTGTGGCTACTGCTGTGGCTACTGCTGTGGCTACTGCTGTGGCTACTACTGTGGCTACTGCTGTGGCTACTGCTGTGGCTGCTACTGCTGTGGCTACTGCTGTGGCTACTACTGTGGCTACTGCTGTGGCTACTGCTGTGGCTACTGCTGTGGCTACTGCTGTGGCTACTGCTGTGGCTACTACTGTGGCTACTGCTGTGGCTACTACTGTGGCTACTGCTGTGGCTACTGCTGTGGCTACTGCTGTGGCTACTGCTGTGGCTACTACTGCTGTGGCTACTCCTGTGGCTACTGCTGTGGCTACTGTGGCTACTGCTGCGGCTACTGCTGTGGCTACTACTGTGGCTACTGCTGTGGCTACTGCTGTGGCTACTGCTGTAGCTACTGCTGTGGCTACTCCTGTGGCTACTGCTGTGGCTACTGCTGTGGCTACTGCTGTGGCTACTGCTGTGGCTACTACTGTGGCTACTGCTGTGGCTACTACTGTGGCTACTGCTGTGGCTACTACTGCTGTGGCTACTGCTGTGGCTACTACTGTGGCTACTGCTGTGGCTACTACTGTGGCTACTGCTGTGGCTACTGCTGTGGCTACTACTGTGGCTACTGCTGTGGCTACTACTGCTGTGGCTACTGCTGTGGCTACTACTGTGGCTACTGCTGTGGCTACTACTGTGGCTACTGCTGTGGCTACTGCTGTGGCTACTACTGCTGTGGCTACTACTGTGGCTATTACTGTGGCTACTGCTGTGGCTACTGCTGTGGCTACTCCTGTGGCTACTACTGTGGCTACTGCTGTGGCTAATCCTGTGGCTACTGCTGTGGCTACTGCTGTGGCTACTGCTGTGGCTACTGCTGTGGCTACTACTGTGGCTACTGCTGTGGCTACTACTGTGGCTACTGCTGTGGCTACTACTGTGGCTACTACTGTGGCTACTGCTGTTACTACTGCTGTTACTACTGCTGTGGCTACTACTGTGGCTACTGCTGTGGCTACTGCTGTGGCTACTACTGTGGCTACTGCTGTGGCTACTACTGCTGTGGCTACTGCTGTGGCTACTCCTGTGGCTACTACTGTGGCTACTGCTGTGGCTACTGCTGTGGCTACTACTGCTGTGGCTACTGCTGTGGCTACTACTGTGGCTACTGCTGTGGCTACTGCTGTGGCTACTACTGTGGCTACTGCTGTGGCTACTGCTGTGGCTACTGCTGTGGCTACTACTGTGGCTACTGCTGTGGCTACTGCTGTGGCTACTGCTGTGGCTACTACTGTGGCTACTGCTGTGGCTACTGCTGTGGCTACTACTGTGGCTACTGCTGTGGCTACTGCTGTGGCTACTACTGTGGCTACTGCTGTGGCTACTGCTGTGGCTACTGCTGTGGCTACTACTGTGGCTACTGCTGTGGCTACTGCTGTGGCTACTGCTGTGGCTACTGCTGTGGCTACTGCTGTAGCTACTGCTGTGGCTACTGCTGTGGCTACTACTGTGGCTACTGCTGGTGCTACTACTGTTGCTACTGCTGTGGCTACTGCTGTGGCTACTGCTGTGGCTACTACTGTGGCTACTGCTGTGGCTACTGCTGTGGCTACTGCTGTGGCTACTGCTGTGGCTACTGCTGTGGCTACTACTGTGGCTACTGCTGTGGCTACTGCTGTGGCTACTGCAGTGGCTACTGCTGTGGCTACTGCTGTGGCTACTGCTGTGGCTACTACTGTGGCTACTACTGTGGCTACTGCTGTTACTACTGCTGTGGCTACTGCTGTGGCTACTACTGTGGCTACTGCTGTGGCTACTGCTGTGGCTACTACTGTGGCTACTGCTGTGGCTACTGCTGTGGCTACTACTGTGGCTACTGCTGTGGCTACTCCTGTGGCTACTGCTGTGGCTACTGCTGTGGCTACTGCTGTGGCTACTGCTGTGGCTACTGCTGTGGCTACTGCTGTGGCTACTACTGTGGCTACTGCTGTGGCTACTGCTGTGGCTGCTACTGCTGTGGCTACTGCTGTGGCTACTACTGTGGCTACTGCTGTGGCTACTGCTGTGGCTACTGCTGTGGCTACTGCTGTGGCTACTGCTGTGGCTACTACTGTGGCTACTGCTGTGGCTACTACTGTGGCTACTGCTGTGGCTACTGCTGTGGCTACTGCTGTGGCTACTGCTGTGGCTACTGCTGTGGCTACTACTGCTGTGGCTACTCCTGTGGCTACTGCTGTGGCTACTGTGGCTACTGCTGCGGCTACTGCTGTGGCTACTACTGTGGCTACTGCTGTGGCTACTGCTGTGGCTACTGCTGTAGCTACTGCTGTGGCTACTCCTGTGGCTACTGCTGTGGCTACTGCTGTGGCTACTGCTGTGGCTACTACTGTGGCTACTGCTGTGGCTACTACTGTGGCTACTGCTGTGGCTACTACTGCTGTGGCTACTGCTGTGGCTACTACTGTGGCTACTGCTGTGGCTACTACTGTGGCTACTGCTGTGGCTACTGCTGTGGCTACTACTGTGGCTACTGCTGTGGCTACTACTGCTGTGGCTACTGCTGTGGCTACTACTGTGGCTACTGCTGTGGCTACTACTGTGGCTACTGCTGTGGCTACTGCTGTGGCTACTACTGCTGTGGCTACTACTGTGGCTATTACTGTGGCTACTGCTGTGGCTACTGCTGTGGCTACTCCTGTGGCTACTACTGTGGCTACTGCTGTGGCTAATCCTGTGGCTACTGCTGTGGCTACTGCTGTGGCTACTGCTGTGGCTACTGCTGTGGCTACTACTGTGGCTACTGCTGTGGCTACTGCTGTGGCTACTGCTGTTACTACTGCTGTTACTACTGCTGTGGCTACTACTGTGGCTACTGCTGTGGCTACTGCTGTGGCTACTACTGTGGCTACTGCTGTGGCTACTGCTGTGGCTAGTACTGTGGCTACTACTGTGGCTACTGCTGTGGCTACTGCTGTGGCTACTGCTGTGGCTACTACTGTGGCTACTGCTGTGGCTACTGCTGTGGCTACTACTGTGGCTACTGCTGTGGCTACTACTGCTGTGGCTACTGCTGTGGCTACTACTGTGGCTACTGCTGTGGCTACTACTGTGGCTACTGCTGTGGCTACTGCTGTGGCTACTACTGTGGCTACTGCTGTGGCTACTGCTGTGGCTACTGCTGTGGCTACTACTGTGGCTACTGCTGTGGCTACTGCTGTGGCTACTGCTGTGGCTACTACTGTGGCTACTACTGCTGTGGCTACTGCTGTGGCTACTACTGCTGTGGCTACTGCTGTGGCTAGTACTGTGGCTACTACTGTGGCTACTGCTGTGGCTACTGCTGTGGCTACTGCTGTGGCTACTACTGTGGCTACTACTGTGGCTACTGCTGTGGCTACTGCTGTGGCTACTGCTGTGGCTACTACTGTGGCTACTGCTGTGGCTACTGCTGTGGCTACTGCTGTGGCTACTACTGTGGCTACTGCTGTGGCTACTCCTGTGGCTACTGCTGTGGCTACTGCTGTGGCTACTACTGTGGCTACTACTGTTGCTACTGCTGTGGCTACTGCTGTGGCTACTGCTGTGGCTACTACTGTGGCTACTGCTGTGGCTACTGCTGTGGCTACTGCTGTGGCTACTCCTGTGGCTACTACTGTGGCTACTACTGTGGCTACTGCTGTGGCTACTGCTGTGGCTACTGCTGTGGCTACTGCTGTGGCTACTGCTGTGGCTACTGCTGTGGCTACTGCTGTAGCTACTGCTGTGGCTACTGCTGTGGCTACTACTGTGGCTACTGCTGGTGCTACTACTGTG